TCTCTGTGAGTTCAAGGCCAGCCTGGTCTACATAGCGAGTTCCAGGTCAGCTGGGGCTATAGGGAGATTCTGTCTCAAACTTCTTTAAAAAAAAAATATATATATATATATATACATAATTCAGCCTCTATCTACTTTATCTGTGTCTCCACCTATTGCTTGAAAAGAATGTGAAGAGAGCTGGGTGTGGCAAAATGCTTCTTCCAAAAAATAAAAAATCAGTTGTCAAGGTTTAAAACACAGTTAAAGAATTCTGTCAGAGAATGACACTCAAATCATATACCTACTTTAGTAGCATACAAAAATACAGAAGTCAGAGCTAGAGAGATGGCTTAGCAGTTAGCAGAACTGGCTGCTCTTGCAGTCTGGAGGACCCAGGTTCAGTTCCCAGCACCCACATGATTACTAACTCCAGTTCCAGGGTGTCTGACTCCCTCTTCTGACTTATGCGGGCACTTTACAACATAAGGGTATTTACACACATGTAGGCAATATACTCAAAAACATAAACAAAATTTTTTAAAAATACAGAAACCTATTTTTCTAACTCTGTGATCAGTGCTTTTCTCTTCCATTTTTTTTTTGTGTATGTGTGGTATGCATGTATGTGTATATCTGTATTATTTGCATGTTTATGGACTCCCATGCATGGGCATGTGTGCATATGTGTGAGAGTGTACGTGAAGACCAGATGTTGATGTCAGGAATCATCCTTGATCACTCTTCCATCTTATTCAGTGAGGCAGAGGCTCTCAATCAAAGCAAGACCTCATCAATATGCTTAGTCTTGCTAGCCAGGTGGCTCTGAGGATCTCTGTCTTCCAAGGCTGGAACTGCAAGCAGGATCTCATGCCCAACCTGCATTACATATGGTTTCTGAGCATCTGAAACTTCCATGTTAAGCACTTTAACCACAAAGCCATCTCCCTAGGCCCTAGTCTTTTTAATTCTACCAGCCCAATTTACATGTCCTCCTTAAAAACAATATGTCATACAACTTGAGATGGCCAACTAAGAAGATCAACAGAATACAGCATTGAAAAATATTGCCTTTTAATTCATAATCAACTATTAAATGTAAATAAAACTACAAACAATACTACCAACACTATAACCTAACTGAAAGCAATGTTCTTTGCCATAGTAAAAGGCTTTACAAAATTAACTGCTATGTCTTATACTTAAGTAAGCAATGCATTGACTCAGTACAAAATTTAAAAATTAAAAAAAACACTTTTCTTTTTTGGTGTTTTTGAGACAGGGTCTCCCTGTAGCCCCAGCTGGCCTGGAACTCACTATGTAGACCGGACTGGCTTGAACTCACAGAGATCTACCTGCCTCTGCCTCTCAGGTGCTGAGATTAAAGATGTGTGCCATTATGCCTGGTCCCCCCCAAAAATCAATTGTTTTTTTAACCACTGATAGCTTGTTAGGTGATTTTGTTTTCTTTCTACTAGGTTCATTTTAAGGATTCTTTCCTTTCTGTCTTCTCTCTCTCCCCCCTCTGTGCCCCTCCCCCCTCCCCCTCTCTCTCTCTTGATGGCATTGGGAATTGAACCCAGAACCCTGTGCTTGCTAGGCAATTGCTCCACCACTGAACTACAGCCTCAGCCCATTAAAGTTTTGTTTCCTTAAAGATTTCTTTTTATCGGGTTGGAGAGATGGCTTAGAAGTTAAGAGCACTGGCTGTTCTCGTAGAGGACCTGGTTTTGATTCCCAGCATCAACATGGCAGTTGACAATCATCCGTAACTCCAGTTCTAGGGGATCCAATGCCCTCTTCTGACTCCGTGGGCACTGCACGACATAGGTGCACTTACATACAAGCAGGCAATACACTCATACATATAAAAGAAAAATAATATATTTTAAAAAATTTATCTATGTGTATGAGGTATGTCTGTGTGTGCACACGTCATGCATGTAGGGGCAGACACATGCCAGAAGAGGGTGTTGGATCTCCTGGAGCTAGAGCTACATTACAGGTGACTGTGAGCCATTCAATGTGGGTTCTGGGAACCAAACTCGGGTTCTCTGGAAGACTAACAAAAACTCTTAACCACTAAGCCTGCTCTCTAGCCCCATAAACTCTTTTGGGGGGTATGTATATGATGGACTTGAGTGAATTGTGTGTGTGTGTGTGTGTGTGTGTGTGTGTGTGTGTATCTGTGTTTCTGAGGGAGGGTGTGCATGTGCCTTGGCACACATGTGAAGGTCAGAGGATAACATTGGGCACCCTGTTTGAGGCAGTTCACTTCTTTTCTACTGTACATGGGACTAGCTGCTCAGGAGCTTTAAGGGATTCTCCAGTCTCTGCCTTCCACCTTCCCACAGCATTTCTGGGATTACAGGTGCATATGCTATTACACCTGGCTTTTACATGGGTTCTTGGGATTCCAACTTAGGTCCTGACACCTTTATAGATAGAAAGCATTTTACCCACTGAGTCGTCTCCACAGCCTTAAATTCTCTGTATATCTTGCCTTTCCCATGTGTCTAAATTGAGGGGAAGAAAGGTAGTTAATCTCAGCTGATAATTTATTCTTCTATAAATTGTCTTCATGAAAACAAAGGTGAATGTGTGTGATAAGCAAATTTGAAAAATAATATGTTATGGTTGCCTAACAGAGACATAGACATGAAAAAAGTTTCATTCTATTGGTTCTGTGGCAATCCCTTAATTTTGTGATTTAACATGTAGGAGAAAATAAACTTATAAAACTAAGTGGTTAGATAAAATCTGTGGTGTTACCAACAAGTTTTCCCACATTAAAATGGATCATTGAAAGTTTAAGCTACCTCACTAAAAGCCATCAATATAAAATGACAGAAATATAGGAACTATAAAACTATTAAGGAAAAGAATCATCTAATACTGATATTTTAGCATATTTTGTCCTGTCTGCACATATCTTTAGCTTCCATCATATCCTATTTCACACAATTATGTGTATATATTATGTATATGCTATAGTGTATACTACAGAAAATTTCATGAGGAATTTCGTACTCAACATTTTCCTTATAGTAAAATCAACCACCTAGCTCACTTTATTTATAGTTTTATGGCTGCCAAATATATAGATTTATATGCAAAATTCAAAATATAAGAAAATGTCTAGTAAAGTATTTGATACTAGTGCATAACAAATTACAGTTATCACCTAACCCTCTATATTTTACATTATTTCCTCAGATGCCCTAAAGTAAAAACTGCCCACTCAAACACACATAAACAGGTAAGGATCTGCATGATTACCTTCTGACATTTTTTTAGAAACAGTTTGCTATGTGAGCTTTGCAACAGCACTAAATGGTTCCTCACCAGCTGTATATTAAATAGAAACAAATGAACTTAGCAAAAAGATTAAGCTTGATGAAAAGCCTAAACTTCAAACATTAGAAAAATTTAAATAGAGACCACTAGTAACTTACTCAATGTAGACTTACCCTGCCTGAGGGCCAGCTATTGCTTTATGAGAAGGAGATAAGTTCTGAAGTTTGTTTCCCAAAGAACTGTTAACTGAAGAAGACACTTTACCCGAAGGCATACCTTATAATAAAAAAAGGTAATAATTTTAAAAAGTCTGAAAGAAAATTCACATAACATAGAGCATCTAATAAGGAATACAATTCCTTGGTATTGTTCCTTATGACTATGAATTTATGAAATTCAAACTGTTTAAACATATTAACAAGGAACATATTTGTTTCTCATTTATACCATGACATTTGATACAAACAACAGTCCACTTTAGAGGAATCTTCTCTAAGCCATCAAGCATTTATCTATTAGGAGCAACTCTTAAATTTAAATATAAGGGTCAAGGTAGAAATGAGGGAAACACTCTGGTCTTTCAAATAAGAAAGAAACTTGGTTGCAGAAGCTATTCAAAGTTACTTTGATTCTACTCAGAAACAATTATAAATTTACACTTCTTATTTACAAACTTATAATTAAAAATTCAGAATAGACAACTACTGTCATCTCATAGACTTGTATAACTTTTGTTGCAGGTTTTTTGTTTGTATGTTTGTTTGTTTCCTTTTTTAAAGTTACCATATGGGTCTCATTACCTATAACAGTTTTGCTAGTGGTACTTGGTTGTGGTAATCGGGACGATGCTGATGATGTAGTTCCAGGAGATTTTTTAAGTGCAGATGGCTTATACTAAAATAATGAAAATAAAAGTCTTATCAACATTTTATTATATAATGCAAATTAGTAAATCAGAAGCTCATAATGCTCAACAACAGAATTTTAGTTGGACATGAAGAAAAAGCTATGGAGATGGAATGTTGGTGATGACTACACATCACAAATGTATGTAAGGCTACTGACCATGCACTTAAAACTCATTATACATAAAATGTAAACATTTATAAATAAAGATTTCTAAAACTGACATTAGAAAAAATTTAGTTCTGACAAAATGGTTGAACAGATTATTTAGATCAACCCTTCAAAAAAAACTAAAAATGCCCCCAGGAAACTACTTGAATTGTATAAAAGCATATAAAAAACATTTTTAAAGCACTGAGTGTTAGAATAGATAAGAAGAAACTGCCATTGCCATGCCAACAGCATCTGAGCTTGTAATAACCACTTGTCAGCACATGGAAATGCTGTATAAATTGTTATTTGGGCAAACTGACATCAATTAATGCAACTTAAAATGTTTCCAGATGGAGAGTATTCGATACCTAGAAAGCAAAGGCAGAAGTTATATCATATGAATAAAAATCATAAATATTTTTATTATTGACTACAAAAAATGTCAGTAATATTCATGGACATAAGAAACCATGAAGCAATAGAAGAACAATAGCAAGACTGTATCTATGAAGATGACTTGATGCTAAAATTAAAATATATATTTTACAGCAAAATAATTATGTGTACTACAGTTAAACAAAAGTCTGAAATATAAAGGAATTAGAGTAAATAAAAATTAGAAGACTATAAAAAAAGAAAACCTCAAGAAATTAAAAACTGTCAAACTACAAAGTTAGTGGTTGGAATGGGATGAAGAGACCTATCTATCTATCTATCTATCTATCTATCTATCTATCTATCTAATCTTTCTATAGATAAGAAGAGACCAAAATTTATGAAAGATCTTCAACTGTGTCCTTTAGGTTTAAACTAAGACATATACCCATAGAAAAGGAGGACATTTAAAAAATCTGGTTTATTGTTATTGGTTGTTGGGGTTTTTTTTTTCTGGTATTTGTTTTTGAGAGTGTCTCACTCCTTACTCAGACTGCCCAGTCCCTTGCAATTCCTTCACTTTCCACATGCTGAGATTACTAATGTGCATATATTGCCCAGCTCCAGAATTCAAAGTGATACATGACCTGCAGTATCAAGCCATTCACCTGAGTTATCTTCTTTAACTTAAACTCCTATTCTACATAGCCTCTAGGACAGCCTGTGATAGATGGCTTTATTTTTAATTTGCTCTGGCAGTTACCACCTGCTGGGAGGAGCATTCAGGCAGGTTTTTGCCTACATTAAGTTTTTTTAAGATTTATTTTTATTTTATGTGTATGGTTTGGGCTGCTTGTATGTAAGTGCACAATGTATGTACAATGCCCATAGAGGCCAGAAGAGGGAATTCCAGCCCCAGAACTGGAGTTATGGATGGTTATTAGCTATCATGTGGGTGATGGGAAACAAACCTGGGTCCTCTGGAAGAGCAGCCAGTGCTCTTAAGAGCTGAACCATCTCTCCAGTTCCACCTATCTTGTTTTTAAACAACTAAAAATCAGTAGCAAATGAGCAAAAAAAAATGGCTAATAGGTAACAACAATGGAAATCAACAGAAACTAACTCCATATGGGCAGCAGGTGTTAGATTAGTAATCAATGACTCAAAAAGTTATTATACACTGGCATAGTTATTCGAAGAGAAATATAATAAATATGATAAGTAAATGAACAGAGAGGGTATCTCAACAAAGAAATGAAGACAAAATATAGGTATTTTGGGACAGCTCGACACAGAACTCACTGCCAGTAGGTGGGTACTATGGACTCAGAAAACTTTAGACTATGGGAAATGAAATCAATGGCAAGTTAGATTTGCACAGAATATTGAAGTGGTCTGGAAAGTATAAATATGTAAGTAAATATAAACATAAAGTGGATATATACATAAATGTATATATGTCTATATGTACAGGTTTAAACATTTCTTCTAATTTCTGTAAAAGATAACTGTTAATGAGCAAATACATCACTATATAACCACATACACTGAGTACTGATATCTTCAGAAAAAATATTTATACATAAAACTAAGGACAGGAAGAAATTAATATAAAGATCAAATACAGTGAAAAATTAAATAATATTTCAGCTGGAGAAACAGCTTGAGGGTTAAAAGCACTTGCTGAGGACCAGAGTTTAGATTCCAGCCTCCACATAACAAGATAGGCATCCTCCAAATGCCTGTAACTATAGCTCTGAGGATCCAGCACCCTCTTTTGACCTCTATACCTGGCAGCAGTTGGCACCGCTCATAGGTATGCATACACTCATGCACACACACACATCCACAAACCAAGTAAGTTTTTAAAGAGAAATTAAATAACATTAGATTCCTAGAGCAACCAAAGTTTAAAAAACAAAATCAAAGACATAAGACAGGGAATGGAAAAAATGTCTAAAGTAAGCAAGAGATACAGTTGTAATAGAAGAATGAACATGTGTTGGTGTATATGAAAAAAAAACTGAAAAGAGAGCACAGAAGACCTAACTACTACTTACCAAGAATAATTACATTAAATATAAACGTCTACACATTTCAACCAACCAATGGTACTTACCAGACTATATTTAAAAACAAAAAATACAAACAAGAACTAACTATAGGCTGCTCTACAGACCAGCAAAAACACATATTTAAGTTAAAGAAAGAAAGAAAACAAGTGAGCAAATCTAAGACCCATGGTTGACATGGCTATTTTCTTACCAGATAAGATGCACTTCAAAAACAGAAAAAGATACTTTATACCAATAAAAGGGTAAATAAAAGATGTATTATAAATTATGAATTATGATGTAAACATTAAGACATACTAAGAAAAACTCAAAGTATGAAGATATAAAAGAAGCAAATGTATCAAGAAATACAGAAAACTAAAATCATAAAGATCTAACACATTCTTGCTACAACTGATAGGAAAACCAAACATAACTGTCAGTAAGGACTAGCCACTTTGGACTGGTCTTTACAAATCTCAACACAGAACAACTACAGAACTACATTTTTTTTCTGATGTCATGCAACACACCCCCAAACAGACTACAGGCTAGGCATGAAAACAAATTTTAATACAACATAAATTTTACCAAGTACACTCTCAGACTAAAACAGAATTAAAAATAGACAATAACATATTACTTTGAAATTAAATATGAGTAAAAAGATTGCAAATTAGAACTTAAATAAAACTGAATAAAATACATTTGAAAGATGCAATTAGAGCAATACTAAAGAATGAAATCCTTGCCAATTTAAATACCTTTCAAATAAATTACTTTTAATAATTTTTCTCAATTACTTATTCATATTTCTTACTAAAATTCCTTAGTAATTGTATATTTATTTTAGTAGACAAAAACTATAGTCTACTGTGTTCCTAAGAATAAACAAACATCAGGTATGGTGGCACATGCATTTAATCTCAGCAATGGGGAGGCAGAGGCAGGCAGATGTCTGTGAGATTATGGCAAATCTGGTCTACGTAGTGAGTTCCAAGTCAGCTAACAATGCATCTCAAAGTGGTACTTCCTCATTAACTTGTAGAAATAATTTAAATTGAGCATTCTACCTGTGGCCGAGAAGTTGGTTTTCCTTTGGTATCAGTAGGAAATTTGCCCTTATTACTAATACGGGCTGCCTGTTCTTTACAAAAATTTATATGTCTATCTGCTGCATTTTCATTGAATCTCCTCTGGCAATAAGGACATTGAATATAATCTAAAATAGTAAAAAACAGAAACAAATTAGTAACAAAATACCTGGAACACACAGAAGGAATTTTTATTAACAGTAGTTTAAGAAGTGTAACATTTAGTAGTAACATCTGATCAGCAGAAATGCCCATTTCCATGTAACATCCAACCTGGCTTACCTCACAACTAGTTAGTATGTTTAAAAGAAAAGTTCAGCAAATGAAGTCTATCTCCTACCTTTGAATTGCATTTGAGAAAACTGAAGAAAAAAAGAATAAAAGATAGTTCTTCAGTACAAAAGAAAAGTTTAAGTGAAAGAAAACTACCACTTCTTTTTTGCCTTTATAATGAACAAACTTTTTATAATACCTAAACATTAAATACAACTTAAACTATAAAATGTTTTAATTAAAAAAATTAAATAGCTTAACAGACAGCTAACAAATTTATTTTCTCTTAAGAGGTCCTAAGACATGGAACAAGAAGTTTAAAAAAAAAAACAAAAAACTTCATTAACACTATTGAAATTTCAGAAAGTTTTACTACTTGATAATAGCCTAAAATATCTAATAACTATTCTGCTAAGTCAAAAAGTTTAAAGAATTTCTAAAGCCCAAATTATCCTGAGGAACCAGCACTTTCACTCACTTATCAGATATGGAAAGTGTAGCTGATGAGACTAAGATGGAATTATCTAGGTAACTCCAAGGAAGAGAACTCAACTTCATGGGAAATAAACATAGACTAAGAAGGAACCTAAACTTAGCTGGATTTTCTCCAAAACACTTAAAGAATTAATCGTTAATACTTTAGGTGCTGGAAAACCATTGTTTTAAGCTAAATCCAGTCTGCGTGTTCCCTGTTTTTGATAATAAAGTTTAATGGAATATAACTATATCCATTCATTTACATATAACAATGAAAAAAAACTTAGTAGTTCTTTCAGTCACTGTAATGATGGTCAATGCCTAAATTATTTACCATTTGCTATTTTACTAAAATAGCTGGCAGATATCTCCTATAGAATAAAATGATTAAAATGATCATAAGAACATTCTCTTTGGTAGGGAATGAACTCCAATCTGGAGCACCTATTCTGCTTCTATGTGCCATATTTGTTATACTAAAATAACAACCTGTAGAGATTGGTGCAAAGAAGTCTATGAATATCTCAGTGTCTATATGGATTTGAAAGAATCTTGTTTCACTTTGGTAACAAGTAACAGTGCTCAGTGAGAAACTAATCTGACCTCTGCGGCATTGCACGACACGGGTGCACTCACATACATGCAGACAATACACTCGTACACATAAAATTAAAATTATAAATAAAATATTAAAAAATACATTAATTTCAAAACATAATTTAGGTAATTGGTCTATATCACATTAACTGTGTATTTAAGAAATTATATTATGGCTTTCTTCTCGGGCAAGATACCAAAGAATCAAGCAGCACAACTATCTGAATCCTACTTAATGGACAGTGAGCATGAATAGTTTTCTCGAATATTAATATTTAATAATTATCATAATTTTAAAGTATAAGGCTAATGTTTAAGAAAAAGCATTGTATTGACAAGGTAGTAAATTTTTATGCTCTATAAGAATGTATCTTTATAAACTTAGATGCCTGGATTATTACCATTATTTTATACCAAAATATTTAAAGATTATTTATTACTAAGTTCCATCACAATAAATTATTTTATAAGAGATTGAAATTAATTTTAAAAATCCTCTCATTTTCTGCCCACAAGACATTTATGTCACTAGCACTCCACATACCAGGATCATAAGAAGGTGGAGGAGGGGGAGGAAGTTTGCCTCCCTCCTTAAGTGCCTGATCAAGACCTTTGGCTGCTCTTATGGTGGCAATGAATTCTTCATGCTTTCTTCTCCAATTAGATGGTTTCTTTGGTGGTTCTGGCTGAAAATAAGGAAAGAATAGTATCAAAATATATTTTTTATAACCTGAAATAAAAATTCAGGTAAGGCCATATTATTTTAAAGTGGTCTCTTAACGGGCATCCATAAATGATCTCTTTCCCACAACAAAAATTTGCAATTACATTGCATGCAACTTTAAAGACCTAATTCTAATTGTGGCAGACACTATTAAGGGATTCTCCTAGGTGGTACAGTCATTTGTGCTCTCAGTCATTTCCCTTTTCACATCATTTCTCCAGGAAAAATTTCCACATAAGATTTTAACTAACTGAAGAAATGGGAAACAGTCCTGCTGATTTCACTGAATTTTCTTTTGTAATCACTGAGACTGAACATCCTTTCATTTTACTAAGAACTATATGTATTCTCTGTGAATGGATTATATTCTTACTTAACTTATCTCTCTGGCAGTGGCCTTTAGTAACAATTTCTATTAAGTGCAGAGGAAATTATTCCCCTTTTCTCCAATTCCTGTCTTTTGACCAGGCCCATTAGGTCATTTAACATGCAGAATTATTTTAAAATTATTAGTTATCTTACTACTTTCTCTTTTAAAACCTTGAATTTAAAGGCACAACTAGCCAGGACCAACCTCATATCAAGGTATGATAAGCTTTTCTTCTATTTTTTTCTGTAGCATCCATAGTTTTGTTTTCTGATTTTAAATAGTCATCTCGAGGTTTCTATTTATTCTATTATATACCGTGTGACATGAGTTCAACTTTTTTAACATGGTCATGCAGTTGTCTCACTATCCTTTAACTCTATTATACCCCACCCCAATACTACAATAAAACAGTATTTGTAAACTAAATTCTCTTGGGTTTGGGTCCATTGCTGAACTTTCTCTTTCATTCTAGTGCTTTGACAACCTGGTGTTAGAACTAGAATTTTAAATACTAAAATTTTGGTATCTGGTATCTGATAGGGTAATCTTAACTTATAGTCATTTACAATCTTTTCTTTATTTTTAAATGTGTACTTTTCCATATGAACTTAATAGTCAGTTTGCCTAGTTAAAAAAAAAAATTAGGGTTAGACAACAGAGGGAGCCGTATTAGTCCAACAACCTAATGAAATTACACATACATTATCTCTACATGAGTCCATGTGTATAGCTAAAGGCTACATAACAAAAAACAGTGCCAGACAGGGGAAACCTTGCTTTGAGTTGTCAGCCAGGGTGGTCCAAGAGACTCCCAAAATTACTCAGGCTATTGCCACAGCCCTTGATGGCCACCCAGATTTTGAAGATAAGATCCTACTTCTGAAAACAGAATATACTTCAGACACAGAATTTGGAATAATAGAGCTGAAACTGACCTGAAACCACTTGCCCTGAAGTCTAGCTCTCATAGCTTTGGCGAGCGCTATGAAGGTGCCAAGGGAAAACATCAATCGATGGTCCAACACTAGCTTCAAGACCAAATAACCACATCAATGGCCAGCATAGCATATGCCATTGGTGCAGTAGTGGCAGTTTTATTTTGGGAGCAATCAACAGCTACCTAATTGGACCAAAAGCTCACTCAATGGTAGGAAATACAAGTGTGTAAACATAACCAAATACACCTGGTTTGAGTGGTTGTAGATCTTACAGAAAACCCCAAGACTGTCGTCACATCCCTACATTAATGTGATTTCTTACTATGTACAAAATATATACCCTTATATTTACAGAAAAATATTGCAGTCACCACTCATCAAAGAAGCCCATTTTCCAAGAGTCAGAGACTATTACTAAATACCACAACTGGTCACACACAGACATTGTCTATGAATTGCCCAGGCCCAAGGTGACACATCTACAATGCAACTCTACACCTAAGGCTCATGGAACATAAAACAGGGGTAAAGAGGATACTCACTAATGAATCAGTTCTTATTACTGAAGCTCCCTCATGCAGTGGAGGACCAGAAACACAAAAGATGACAAGTAGAGATTTAGAGTCTGCTGAAAGCTGGTCCTTAAGACAGGACTCCTGTATTAAACTTCACCCACCCAAGGACCAGGGAGTATCATGGAAGAGGGGGTGGAGATTGTAAGAGCAAGGGAGGAGGTGCGTGACCATGTGGAAACAGAGTCCTACAGCTCCTGGGAACCTGATCATATGAATCCATGGCATAGGTGTCAGCACACACAAGTACCATGAAAAGTCAGGCAGACAAAAACCCAGCATAGAACTGGGAAAATGAACAGCAGACCCCAATCTTATCTAAAGAAATATTGGCAACTGCTTGCTGCTAGGTGAAGAAGAGCTGATCTTCCTAAAACAAGGGACCTACATAGGCTGACTAGACCTCAGTGGATGGACTTGCACTGCATCTGGGGACACTGGCTTGACACAGTGGGCCTTAACAGAGATGATCGTATATATGGGTTCTGGGGGAGGGTGGGGGGCTATGGGTGGGTGCCAGTATGGACAGGGGTATAAAGATAATTAAGACTGTTTGAGATGTTTTGTATGAAATACACAAAAATTTAATAAAAACAAATTTTTAAAAATTATTTTATTAGAAAAGTAGAACTTTATTAGAAGCCTTAAAAAACTTTATTAAACTTAATCACCCTATATAAAAACATTATATATAATTTAAAAACTACGTTATTTGATTCTTGGAGAACTCAATGTATTTTCATCATATGCAGAACCCTCCCCCAGCTCTACCCCCAATTTCCAACTCCCTCCTCCCAAGATTTCATGTCCTCTACTATTTTTTTAATGGCTTATTGAGTTGTGTTCACCAGATCTCTTAGAGCCTCGTAAAGCTACCTGGCATCACATCCTTAAAGGAAACCAACTCTCCTTTGTCCAATAGTTCTACAGCTAGGGCTGGGCTTCTTGTACACCTCCCCTATCCTTGTTGGATTTTTGTTTGGTTTGGGATTATGCTGGTGTCTTGTGCATGTTGTCACAATTTTTGTGAGTTCAGATGTGCAACTGCCCTGTTGTGTCCAGAAAACAGTTTCTTTGTATTCATTCCCGACCTCTGGCTTTTACCAACATACCATTCTGAAGGTGCAGGAACTCATCCAACTGTCCTTACTGTGTCTCTGGTTTTAAATCAATATGCATTCAATGAAAGCCAAAAGATGACTCTTTTAAAGTACAAATGCAAAACTAAACAATAACAAAACTTATCAAAGAGTGAAAACTAGTATATGATCTATAGTTCTTACTAGAAAAAGAAAAGACACTATAAAGAAATGTCTTGACAATAAACTTGATAATTGATGAAATTGGCAATAACTTTAAAAGACACAACAAAAAAGCTATCCAGGACAACCAGTCTTGCATTTTTTAAGTGAATTTAGGGCTGGAGGGAGGACTCCCGCTTAACAGCCATATACTATTCTTGCAGAGATCCAACTTTAATTCCTAGCACCCATATGGTACTCACAGCCATCATTAATTCCAGCTCCAGAGGGAGCTAATAAGGCATACTAACAGGTTTCTGGCCTCTGTGGCACCTGCACTCATGTGCACATGTTCACACATAGACATATACAGAGAATTTTAAAAAAACAGGTATTTAAAAAGAAGTGCCTTTATTATTTTAAACATTGCCAACAAAAATTATGTCTATACTGCTGAATTCTTTTAATATATTATATATATATGTATATATATGCACACTATTCCAACTAGTTTTATGAGATCAACAAAACTTTGATGGAAAGAATAATTATGAACCTGTTTCACTCATGATGGTTTCTCATAGTCCAATGTCTGATAGAACGTTCGTCTACTCTGTATTCGTCTGCTGGCAAGGTGTGCTGTTTTCTTACTTGCTTTCTTTATAGAAAAATCTTTATACAATGAGCACTAACAGGTTTCTTATTACTCATCACTGAATGAATTTGCTTTCTCTGGTACAGCCCTTTGGAAGACAATGTGGAAAGGCAGCCCAAGGGATTCTTCCAGGCTGCAGAAACCAGCAACTCCCTTCTTTGTTGGATGATGTACAGACTACTTATAAATAAGGCCTCTGCCTCTTATACTTCTCTACAACAGAAACAGGCACAAGGATTACTACTGCTTCCCTGGCCCACAATCACTTTAGTAAAGGTCATGGACCTTCAGGCTGGACTGCTCACCTTCAGGAAGGTTTTGGAGAGCCTACCACTGTACCTGTTCAATTCCCTCTTCCCACTCTCCTCATTTTCTCCCTCCTGGCTTTTGTCCAATTTCAGCCCTGCTCTATCCAGGTCCTGACTACAGAAGTTTGTATACTTTATCTTAGTACCTAACTTGTTAATCACTTCAGGTAGGACTTTGGGGCTATTACTATTATTATTGTTGCTCGTAACAAGAGGATACATGGTATATTCTTTTCACCAAGAACTCAAACCCTAGACAAATCAACTCTAAAATGAACAGACCCCACAGTTAGGGAAGTAGATTCTTTGTCACATGATCCCCATAAACTTCCTGGATATTCTCTGTTGGGTGATTAACCCTGGATCTCAATTGCTTTGGGCACTTGTTATACGTATTTGGTAGCATGTGGATTATGCCTTGTCTTTAATTTTACAAAAAAATGGAGTTTGGATAGTTTAACTGTTTGTGATTTTGTAGGCTTTCTTTGATACAAGTAAATACATTAAGACATAGACTACAATCTTAAAAATCTTCTAATTGCTTCCTAAATTCCAATGTGTACATGATTCAAGCACAGATTCTGTAAAAAGTAGATTTTAATTTATTGTATTTATGTGAGAACTAAGATTCTGCATTTCTACCAAGATTCCAAATTGTGCTGGTATTAATGCACTATGGACCACACTTTAGGGAGCAAGGCACTAAACTACTTAGTGTAGTTTTTTTTTTACTTTGCTTTTATTGGTAAGAAAATTCCAATAAAAGAAAATTTTATTTTTAAACATAATTACTTCCTTCTTAAAAAACAGAATATCTGATACTGTCATGAATAATCTTATGTTATCTCCACAAAACACCGTAAGTTACTACATCTAATTAACACTGAGGTAAACAGAATCACACACTTGTCCAAGTAGTAAAGTATATATGTTGTATAACCAGAGCTAAATCCAGGACTCTCTTTTAGCCAATTTCCATACCCATGGGCCTTTACGGCCTTCCAAAGATTTGGCTACTTTATCTGAGCTAATGAGATCATATAAATGACAGGCTAGTAAGAAAAATTTCAAATATTCGTTTATAGTCTCTAGTTAAATTTCACCATCTTTTCCACAAATATTCACAGACAGAAAAATGAACATGAAAATCTGATTAACCTAGAATCGAATAATTTTATTAATGAAGTTAATTCTCCCCTTGGGAACTGTCCCTCTTGTGCCACTAGAATAATTTATTAGCATTGAAAACACAGATTTGTTTAAAAATTGTTAAACAAAACCTTTGATCATTTCACTTAATACTTTGACTCTGACATAGTATTTAAATGAATTGTTATTATTACATATATTAAGGAGAAATCATCATAGGTGGCCCAATGCTCTGATTCAAGTAGGAAAGATGACAGCAGTTAACACTGATAAAACTACAAAAAGCACAACATGGGTTGCAAATGCTAGTACTCAATCAGGACATCTATTACACAAAGAGACTAGAAACAACAGCCTTGCTTTCTACATACAGATTTAAGAGGTATTCGTACTGACTGGATAGAATATATTTTTCAATAAATGTAACAGCAAGGTTCATACTATTTTAAACTTATATAGTTACCCTAGGTTTAAGAGGTTTGACTGTTGGAATATCAGTTCCTTCAGCTCTCTGCCTGCTTGAATCAAAAGTCTTCCTTTTTTTAGTGGCAGTTTTCTGGCAAATGGGTCCATGTTTTTTCTGTTAAAATGAAGAAATGTAGCTTAACACCTTTTTTTTCTTTCCTACAGAAGGGAAGACTAAAAGTATAAACTGAGTCCAGTTTTAAAAATCTGTGTCCAATATAAAAGTCCAAGGATTAAAATAAAGTTATATAATGTCTTCATTTAATTATACTCTACTTCACACACACCTTTCTTATAAGAAATAATAGAAAAATGTTATTCTAACTTTATCAGGAAGTATCTAAAACCCTTCTAGTTTTCATGTTGCAAAGAGTAAGCAAAATACTTCTACTTCAGTAAAAACATCTTTAATGCTAAACACAGATGCTAGGAATAGAATATAAATGGAGAAGAATCCATCAGTCTTAGATTACCAAAGTTTTCAATGGATTACTAATGGCAACATAAAAACACATTACTATAACAGTAACCCAAAACAACAGTGTAGAGTGGTCAGATTTCTGTCCTCCTTCTACAGAAATCCCTTTTCTATTAGAACTCAAACTTTCTCCTCCTCCTAGAACTCAAGTTTTCTTTCTTCACTTAAGATTTTTCTTGACCTAATTTTCCACTTCTATGGTTTGTTTTACAATAAATGCCAACTTGCTTGTTCATTTATTCATTTTACAGACAACACAGTTAAAACTGTCTTAATACCAATTAATCAGTTGGATAGAAAAAAATTCTTCAAGTCACTACAGAGAATGTTTACTGATGGCCTACCAAATACACCTTTTCTCTTTTGTATTTTAGTAAGTACTAAAGAAGCTGGTGCAGTTTTGTCAGTGAAAAAAAGAAGAGAACAGGTTTATTTAATTCTGATGCTAATCACTGACTTGCTGTCTCCTGTACTTGTTTCTAGTTTTATTTCAACAAGCAAGTACTATAAAATAAATATTAGAGGACATTTATTTTTAAAATATTTTAGGTTTTCTTCTTTTGAAGGAAAGTTTCAAAGGAATAAACTGTAAACAGAAGATATACAGTGAATTGTAAAGAACTCCAATGAACAGATCAATATTTTAAAAACATTCATACCAAAGTACTAACAATTTTACATTTATTTTTCGGGTCACAATGTATGTAGGCATAACTATTATTAATCCCCATTTAGCTGGGTAATTTTATTAACTAAAAATATTTCTGTTTTTATATAAGCAGGTAAAAGTGTCTGAAGAATTTATATATTTTAGCTTCATTTTTGTATTGGTAAAAAACTTTCCTTTGGATGATTTCAAACACAGGAAGAAAATAGTATAATTAACCCCATTTACTCATTACACAGCTCAACACATCCTAGCATTTTAGAAACTCTATCCCTGCTCCTCAAGTACCTTAAAGCAAATGCCAGAAATTATAACATTTTATCTCTATAAATACATTCTTATATATATTTAAGAGGTGCTTGTCTCAGGCTTTGTATTTGTAGCTAGTGATATTCCTACAAAGCCAGGAAGAATTTAGCATTTACTAGAAGAGATCAGAAGCTCAGCCATACTCTGAAGAGCTGGAAGAAAGTGAGACTCAGATGAGACCAGGCTTCAAAGATAGCTGCACAGAATTCTTCATTAAAACTGTCCCATAACAGCTGTCCTCCCCTACTAAACAACTAGAGATCTATTAAATTCCAAAGGAAAGTTGCATAAAACTAGTCTACCTACCAGTGCTACTGGAAAAAATGTTCTTCCACAAATCTTACAAGGCAACAATTCTCCAACTTGGACACTTCCACTTTCTAAAATAGAAAATAATTTGATTAAAAAAATCTACAATAAAAACTATGAAATTTTAACTTCTAATGTTTTCTCCTAAGTCTCACAGGTAAATTGTGAACTCTTATAAAAAATGTTTCAATTCAAAATGATCAAAATGATCAATTACGATGTCTTAAGGCCTAGAGTGATCCGTGAGCTAAAGGGAAAAGTGGTGATTGTAAGAAATAACTAAATTGAAATAAGTGGTTTGCTTGTAATTATTTAATGAAATCAGTTTATCATATCTCAACTTAGAAGCTAGATCCACTGTAAATATCAATATCCAGAAATCAGATTTACCTTAGTAATAGCTCTAAAGGTTGAATACTTTTTACTTATGACTAGTCAGTCTTCCTGAGATAATCTAGGAAGTCTATGATTTTAAAATTTTTGTTCTGGTTATCAGTAGACAATCAGAAGTATAAGCATCCTAGTTATACAAGCTTCAGGTTATCTTGTGAGTTATGCATTCTTTTAAACATATCATACTTATATTAAGATTCATTCTTCTTTTAGATATTCTGACCCCATGGACACAATTAATTAAATAAAAGACTAGCTACAATTTGCATGCAATTAAAATGCCTACCATACACCTGGATATGACAGATTTTACTGTTGAAATGATTCAAAAGAAAAAATTATATTCTTTGAGACACTGCATCACTGAGTTAGCTTGTCATTTTATTTTTAACCTCAGTATTAATCTTAAATTTACTTTCATACCTATAATTTTCTAAAAGTGACTTGTAAACATGCATTTTCCATTTAATATTTCACTTATTGTAAAAAATTATCATATAACAAAAGAAAAACATTTTCAGCAAGAAGTAACAAACTCCTTAAAAGCATGCATAATTTGACTCCATAAAATATGTCCTGTTGGGGCTGGAGAGATGGCTCAGCAGTTAAGAACACTGGTTTGTCTTGCAGAGGACTCAGGTTCAGTTCCCAGCACCCACATGGCAGCTACCAACTGTCCATAATTCCAATTCCAGGGAATCCAAAGCCTTCGGACCTCTGTGGGCATTGCATTTATGTGGTGCACTTACATACATATACATAAAACACTCATACACATAAATAAAAATTAAAAATTTTTTTAAAAGAAAGGGCTGTACCAGGGATGGAGAGATGACTCAGCAGTTAAGGGCACTGGCTGCTCTCACAGAAGACCCAGGTTCGAATACCAGCAGTCACACGGCAGCTAAAAATCATGTTCCAGAAGATCCAAAGCCCTCACCTAACCTCTAGGAGCATTGCATGACACAGGTGCACCTGTTGGGGCTGGAGAGATGGCTCAGCAGTTAAGAACACTGGTTGTTCTTGCAGAAGACCCAGGTTCGAATCCTAGCACCCACATGGCAGCTACCAACTGTCTGTAATGCCAGTCCCAGGAGATCCGACAGCCTCTTCTACCTCCGTGGGCATTGCACGACACAGGTGTACTTACCTACATGCAGGTGATACATGCATACATAAAATAAAAATAAAAATATTTTTTAAAAAATGTCCTGTAACATTTGGTGAATGCACAAAGAACCAATAAAGTGATCCAAACAAACTGGTGGGAATGTATTCAAATGCAGGTCACAGGAGAACTGTTGTTGTCCCATCCTGCTAGCAGCCTACTGCCCTGTTTTACTGCTGAATAGTGACTACTTGTAATTTCAGACAGAGGTGAGATATCTGTATGGAAGTAGTTAAAGCTGCACATTACAAAAGTGAACATAGGACTTGCCTAAAGGATCCTTCTCTGATATTATATAAGATTACTTAAGCAAGCTCAATAGTGGGACCATTAACTCCAAAAGCTGAAGTAGCTATGATGTGGAATCCATTAGGTTAATTAAGATAAAAGTGTCATTAAGGGGACTGGAGAGATGGCTCAGTGAGTCCGTGAACTGGTGGCTCCTGCAGAGGACTGGACTGGGGAAGGGGGTGTTTGGTTCCCAGCACCCACATGGCAAATAACACCAGTCCCAGGGAATCCATCAACCTCTTCTGGCCTCCACAGGCATATGTGGTGCACTTTGCATAGATGCAGGCAAAACACTTATACATGGTGAATAATCTATTAAGCTTATTCACAATTTTCATATATTCTTTTAAAAACAAAGCAGTGGTTCAAAAATCCAACAATACACAAGGTTAGAAAATATTACATTGCTTAAAAGTATATTTTGGGATCCACTTGTAAAGCACATGAAAAAGCAGAATCTCAAATTAATTCCTGAGTCTGGAGGTCTAGTTTAGTTGGAGGTACTGACTTAGCATGTCAAAGCCCTGAGTTTACTGCTCAACACACTCCTTTCCAATTAACCAATGAGAAAAATAAACTCAGTACACTGGCATAATCTGAGTGGCTAATTGAGCTCCTGTTAATCACAGATCTGTATCCCATACTGTAGTATGGGCACAATGACACAATCAATACTCTCACGAAGCCAAGACAATCTATTTGATTTACTTATCTATCATTTTAGCAAATAATCAAATTATCTCCCATGTTTTTGACAAAAAATTTAAAACTTAATAGCAGCCACACCTTTATCATATAATAAAAAAATTTCTTGGAATTAATTCCCACAAATCATCAAACATGTTCAAAATGTCTTTAATGGAAAAGAAAACCACTGCCACTAAAAAGCATAAAAAGGAATGTACACAGCAGCAGTAACCTCAAGCCATGAATGGTGGTATGCTCCTCCAACCCCAGCACTTTAGAGGTCATGGTACAAGGATCAGAAGTTCAAGGCCAGTTGGTGTTACATAGCTAGACCCTGTTTCAAACGGGGATAAAGGGCAAAAACCTCAATAAAAGAAAATAATCTTTAGAAAAAAAATTTTCACAATAAACACAAATTTCTAATTTCTTCTGTGTCTTGATGGTAAGACTTATTAAAAACTATGTTGGGCTCAGTGGTGCACATCTTCAATCCCAGCACTTGGGAGACAGGCAGGTAAATCTCTAGATCAGGTCAGCCTGGACTACATAGCAAGTTTTATTCCAGCTAGGGCTACAGGGACATCATGACTCAAAACAACAACAACAAAAAAGAGCTACTAAAACATATACAAAGTGGTCAGGATAAATATTTTAGGTCTCAGAGTCAAAAGCCACCTTGTGTTCTATTCCATTATTAAAAGACAAAACAATGTAGCAGACAAAGCATTGGAATTTTTCCTCTACTATCTAACTCCAAATCTCAGCATTATCACTGAGAACCAAGTCCCTGGGCAGGAAATGTAATTTCTTTTGTATAGAGACTTTAGGTTACATAACAAAATCTACAACTACATTAGTAAGAAATATATATGGACAACAAAACATCTTTATTACTGATGCATTATTTTAATTCTTCATATAAAAGATATATCAATGTATATAGGAAAACAAACTCTTCAGGTAGTTTGTATTATGTTGATGAAATCACTTCCACATGTCCACATAGAGAACTAATCCTCTAAAAGGATCAATAGCCAAGAATATGGTATTTCTCTCCTTGTGAGAGGTCCTCACCAGGTAAACTAGAAAGAAATATGTAAATGATCACAGGTTCAGCTTTGCACCTCTTACATGTAGATAATATATGTTAAATCTAATCTACCTTAAAATTCAGAGTGATTAATATATTACATAATAAAATGCTTTACTATACATTACATAAATAAATCTCCTTCTTTCTGAGTTATGCAAAGGTCTGCCAAGTATATAAAAATATAATAGTGGCTGAAGAGATGGCTCAATGGCTAAGAGCACTGGCTGCTCTTGCAGAAGATCCAGGTTCAATTTCCAGCACCCATATGATAGCTAACAATCATTCATACATAACTACAGTTCCAGTGGATCTGATACCCTCTCCTGGCTTCTTAGGGCACTGCATACACGGGTGCACTTATATACCAAAGTGAATTATGTCTTCAGCATTAGGGCCTTGCCATCTAGTTGGTTGGCAACCAAGAGCACTGTTGGTTTAGGTGCCTCTAGGACCTCTCTATCCAATAACTAGTAAGGACACTGCATATGACACTGAGACTTCCATTTAATAATCCATGTCTTCTGGGGGAAGTGCCCACCAATGCAGGGTGCCTGAAGAACACTAACATCCTTTATTGACTTATGCATACCTCTAAGTGTGAATACTCTTTTAGTAGTGTTTGCTTTCTGCTCCTGATTTCACCCCTCTGAATCCAGCTCTTAACTGTATGTATATATATATATATATTTTTTTTAATTATTTTATTTGTATGAGTGTTTCACCCACATGTATGTAAGTGCACCCATGTGTGCAATGCCCTAAGAAGCCAGGAAAGGGTACCAGATCCACTGGAACTGTAGTTATGTATGAATGATTGTTAGCTTTCATAGCCAGAGGGTGCTATGGGGTAACGGCGGGAGAAAGGAATATCAATAGTTTTAACTGGTGCTGGATCATGTACATTACAATTCTGACCTGCCTGATAAAATGTGTCCTCTCTGCAAAAGTGGCATGAAGGTTGTGGGGGTGGCCAAACACTTTCTGATTGGATATAACAGCTGTTCCAAAGGGGGGAATTCACATCTGGTACTGTAAATCTGGTCAAAGCCCATGGCTCTGTATGTCTTAGGTCCTAGGGGTTAACCTACTAGTGTTGTTTTGCTAAGTGGATAGTGTCCAGCTGCCTTCTAAATATTTGTGGATACCCATAGACTGGTGCTGCTCTCACCCTTGGCCAGAGGTTAGCAGGCTTCTTCTGCAGTGGGCAGCCTTAAACAGGACATCTGTATTAACCCTACCCCCAAGACTCAGGGAACATCACAGAAGATGGGGTGGGAAGAAGGTAAGAGCTGTAAGATGGGAAGGAGTACCGTGAAATGCTGTCTTAAGGACATGACATGGTTGTGGCACCCATGAACTCATTGCAGTCATGACTACCTTCACAAGATCAAGTCAACAAGAGCAGCCAATATTCCAGCAGACAACACCAATGGGACTCA